AATACAAAATTTTGGGATTCACCTCGCACTAGACATGTCTGCCTTTGCTACTAGCGGTATGTTCATATTCGTCGTGTTTATGTGTGTCTCGTACGCTTTTTTTCGCGCAATTTTTCTTTCTTGTTTTTAGTGGTAGTTTTCTTTCCCGTTTTTTATTTATTTTAATTGTTGTTGCTTGTGCTACTTTTGGCATAGAGAAAAATTTCACCTTGTTAGGACTTTTTATGTACTTCATTTTTCCTTGAAATTGATAGTTATTTATTTATAAATGAAAGTTTTAGATATTACTTACTTCATTTTTGTTTATAATATTATAATTTTTTTAACGCGTAATTTATTTTTGTTTGCCTATTTTTAATAAGCAATTTTACTAAGAGCGTGTAAAACAATAAGTTTCCTCTTTCTTTCCTTTTTATCACTTTTGACATTTCTTTTAGAGACCAGCGGCAACTAATATTAAAGGCGGCGGCTGCTGATTTAAAAATGTCAACGGCGTTGTAAAAGCCGACTATGTTTTGAACAACTTGTTTTAAATTTTTCAGCGGTATTCATAATCCGTTAATAATCTCGTTTTATAAAAATTTTAAATTTATATACTTGAGAATTAACGTGTAAATTTTATTAAAGTAAAGTAGATAAAATTACAGCAAATTGAAAAGAAATCAAAATTGTTATGAAATTTTTATAAGGACTTGAAAAATTCCAATTCGGTTCCTTTGGCTTTTAAATTTGAGTCATAGCTGTTTGCACTGTCATTTCCAATGCCGTGGATCAAAAAAACCGGAAATAGCAGTTTGTTTTGTACAACTAATGCTGTATTTATGGCGCGATGAGATTTATTTCTTATTGCAAATGTTTGTTGATATAGTATAAATTCTGTTTGCTCCAACTTTAACAAGTTAAAACATTATTTTTAAGGGAAACGTAAATGGTGTAAATGGCATGTAATAACAACAACGTAAAAACATGATTTTAATAAGAAATATTAAAATATTTGAAAACAATCTATCACTAAATTAATTAACTTAAGTATTTCAAAGTTTTAAATTAAAACAATAGCCGTTCACATTTGATAAAAAAAGTTATAAACAAAATATTTTGTTGGAATAATGAAGTACAGTGCATATTACAATATTTTACAAATAAATATTTTAAATTAATATAATGATGTATGATTTTAACAAAAACAAGTTAATCTTTGATTAATCATTAAAAACTACTTTCAAATATTTGGAATACGACGTAATCTATAGTCTAGTCTATAATCTGATCAATAGTCTAGTCTATAGTCAGGACACCAGTCTATTCTATAGTCTGAACTATAGTTTAGTCTATAGTATCTAGTCTATATATAATCTATTCTATAGCCAGGACTATAGTCTAGATATAGTCTGGACGATAGTCTATTTTATAGTCAGGAATATAGACTGAACTATTGTTTAGTCTATAGTCAGGACTATAGTCTAGTCTATTGTCAGGACTAAGTCAGAACTAAGGACAATAGTCTAGTCAATAATCATGACCATAGTCTAGTCTGTACTCAGGACTACAGTCTAGTTTATAGTCAGGACTATAGTCTAGTCTTCAGTCATGAATATAGCCTAGTCTATAGTTTAGTCTATCGGTAGTCCTGCCTATAGTCTAGTCTATAATCAGGACTATAGTCTAGTCTATAATCAGGGCTATAGTCTAGTCTATAATCAGGGCTATAGTATAATCTATAGTCAGAATTATAAACTATTCAATAGTCAATACTATAGTCTTGTCTAAAGTCAGGAATATAGTCTACTCTAGATATAGTCCAGTCTTAAGTCAGCATTATATCATATATATTCTAGATTGTAGTCTACTCTCTATTCTATAATTTAGTCTGTAGTCTAAAATATTTTGTAGTCTATAGCCTAACTTTAGTCTGTACTAAAGCCTGACCTAGTCTATAATCTAATCTATAGTCTTATCTACAATATAGTACATAGAATAGTTTACAGTCCGGACTTCAGTCTATAGTCGAATCTATGGTTTATCCTAGTTAAGAGTCTGGACTATACTCTAGGCGTTAGTCTATACTATAGTTGAATTTTGTGGAGAAAACGCAGCTGGAATTATTTTTTAATAAAGATTAGTTTATTTAATTTTTTTTAAGTTATACACATGAATTATTTTCAATTTATATTAAGTAAAATAAGCTTTTTAATGCAAATATATTGTAATACTAAATATTGATAGCGACCGTTAAAATTACCCAGCAGTTTTAAAAGAAACACTTTTCACACACAGTTTTAACCAAATGTCGTATGTGGTTGACCCGAACTTATGCTTTTTGTTGGGTAAGTTGGGCAATCAAAATGTCCAACATCACTTTAATGTTCCTTGATATTCAAAATATATTTAAAATTGTTCGCGTAGACTGAATGGAACTCCTTCTCCAATGAACATGCAACCTGCAAAATTATATGAAAAAATAAATATTTCGTTACCGCCACCAAAAACTGCAGGGTAATGCACTATTATTGGCTCCCTATATAAGGGACTGGAACCATTGTTTTGCATTCAGTAATAAACTTACAACAAAATGCATTTTTTGGTAAAATTTTTTTTATTGCTTTGGTGGCAACCACTTTGCATCAAAGTAATGGTGAAAATATTTTTAAAAATTAGCTCACGATATTGTAAGTCCTTTTTCCGATTAAGGTGGTACTTAAAAACAAAACAAAAAATTTAATATTAATATTTCTAACAGGAACATGTGGCTGAATAAGTTTGCCCATGACGTCAGGAGAGGATTTGATGATTTCGGTCATGACGTTAAGAAAGGATTCGACATTTTTGGTCACGATTTGAAAAAAGGTTTCAATGATTTTGGTCATGATGTGGTGAGTTAAATAAATTATTTAGAAAAGATTTAATTTTTCATTAAAAATTTTTTATATACATATATTTTTATTGCAGAAAAGATGCTGCCGATGACATAGATCATATTATGGTAAGATTTATTGATTTATAAATTATTAAATGTGACTTTTTAATCAAAATTTTTATAAAATTTTAGAAAAAGTTTGGTGGTGATGTGGTTAGTATTGCTAAAATGATTGAAATATGCATATTAATATTAATTTAAAATGTTTTCGTACAGGATCGCATTGTAAAGGACTTTGAATCCCACGTAAAGGATGCAATTGCTAAGGCCGAACCATTTTTGAAAATGGCCAAAATCATCGTTAAAGATATTGCTTTGCCTTTATCGGAAATCACCGATGTTGCAATTTTGATTGAAATGCTTATGGTATAATTTTTCAATATTTTATTTTTCTATAAAATGGAGGAATCACTTGCCAAAACGTTTAACTGATATTATACAAAATATTATATGATAATCGGTTTGGGAAGTGAAGCATCCAAAAAATACATACTTATATATTGTACATTAATTTCAATAAATATTGTCAGTGCACTGCAAATTTTTGAATTTTTTTTAATTCCAATAGTTTACGAATGTTTCGAATTTGCCTGTACTACATTTCGATAGGTTCCTATAATGACACCATCGTTCAGTATAGTTATGTGATTTACTATATCTCTTTATACTGAACTTTTGTGGTCCCCTTTGAATGGTTTGGTTGAGAAGTCATCAGCCAGGATCTCAATGGATACCCAGAATCACCTCTAGATATATAATTTTAAATAAAAAACATTTAATATGTGTCGCCAAAAATATGTTGTTATCTGCATTTTCAAAACATATTTGCAGAACTCTGAGGAGCTCTATATATAGGAATCATCTCGGGCTTATGGAAATTTGACATTTAAAATATGGTAAACATAGTACATAAACAAAAATACTTAACTTTGTTATCGATTCATTTAAAATATTTTTGGTTTTATCATTTGCACATTATAGAGTGACAGGACACATCGAGACTTGTATGCAATCGATAGCTCCAATAGTTCCGCCTATAATGAAACACAATGCTGCGAGGGTCTATAAAAGAAAAAAGTCATATATTAGTTTTACCGCTTAATTGTTCATCAAGCTAAAAAAAAATCTTTAGCTGTTAAGTTGAATGGATTGTCAAAAGATCGAAGAATGCCTCGATCAACTTCTTGATCGCTAATATTGTTGGTTGAATAAAAATTTACTTTTTGAGAATTTATGGTTGTTCCAATCCTTAGGTTTTCTAGTATAAGGAGGAATATATAATAAGGGTTAAAACTTTATTTTAAAGTCTAGAGATTAGACTTTCAGATGATATAACAGATTTTATAAAAAAGTGGAACACGATGTCTCGAAAATTTCAGTGCTGCTTAATCCTTTAGAAATGGATTAAGAATTTATAGTTCTGTGTAGGTTAATTTAATTGTTTGCGTTGTCAAACAATTCGATAATCGTTCAAATAGTGAATCGTACTACAGATCATGAATGAGCCTAGTACAAAAACATTTCAGTATGTGCTCTAGGGAAGTCACAGTTGGCGTTATTATTTGTCTGAACATATTATATGCAAATATTGTGTTTTGGAGATTAATTTACCTAAGATTTAAAGGAGGACCACAGAAGTATGTATGTGTATTCACAAGACCAACAGCTCATCCAAAGTGTGCCCAAAAAGAAGTACTATTGTCCGGTGCCAATGCCTCCAGCATCGTGTAGATTGTCTCTAGCTCCTTTCATACAGCTTTGTAGTTTAATATACTTCACAATTTTCAGTTTATTTTTTTTTAAGATCCTTGAAGAGTTAAGAAGATTTTTATTAAAGTTTAGATTGTTAAATATCGATGGCTTTGCTTATCTTAGAGTCGCCAATAACATAGAAATATTGTTACGATAACTACCAAGAATTTTTAAAAATTGAATTATATCTAATAAGAAGAGACGTACATAAAAGATTTTGCTTTTTTATTTGTATTCATTATTCTCAGGTTTATTTGCTACTCATCACAAGAAACTCAGCATTTTACTAAAATATTAATTATTATTATATTTTACAGCTTTATCTAATTTCCAAGCCCTGCTTGTTTTTATTTCAACCTGGCAACATCCCACAACTCATATGTTATTTATTTCCGTTTACAAACTTTAACTGAACATACCCAACGATTGATTTTGTTTTGTTTGCAAACAAAAAGTCAACAACAAAAACAGATAAAAACATTAAATACCTGACGTAAACAAATAACTCCAAGAAAAGCACATTTTTTGTTATGTTATGTAGATATTTTCTTCTTGAGATTTCACTGCGGGAGTCAATCGTTTAATTTGGCAAATTCATAAACAAAGTTTATTTCTAAAAAAGTGTTATTTAAGACAAATTGTTAAAAAACGCATTCTACAACCGAAACTATTTGGACATAAAACAATTCTTAACTTTATTGACTCAGAAAAGTGTGACGTTTATTAATGCATTTTATATTTGTTTATTATTGTGTTTACAATTAAAAAAAAAATAAAATTTCCAGGCGAATGTGGTAAGTTTTTAGTTGTAAAATTGTATATGCAAATAAATGTATTGTAATTTATGTAAATATTGTAATATATTATAGAAAATTTGTTTGCAATTGACAATATCAACAATTTTCTACAGAACAAACTTGTGCAAAAAAAGAAAAAGATGTTCATAAAATTAACACCTTTTCCTATAGAAAAATTATTCATAAAATTATCATATTTTCCTATAGAAAAGTTGCTCATAAATTTAACAAGTATTCTATAGAAAAGTTGTTCCAAAAGTTGCTCATAAAATTAACAAGTATTCTATAGAAAAGTTGTTCATAAAATGAACTAGTTTTCTATAGAAAAGTTGTTCATAAAATGAACTAGTTTTCTATAGAAAAGTTGTTCATAAAATGAACTAGTTTTCTATAGAAAAGTTGTTCATAAAATGAACTAGTTTTCTATAGAAAAGTTGTTCATAAAATGAACTAGTTTTCTATAGAAAAGTTGTTCATAAAATGAACTAGTTTTCTATAGAAAAGTTGTTCATAAAATGAACTAGTTTTCTATAGAAAAGTTGTTCATAAAATGAACTAGTTTCTATAGAAAAGTTGTTCATTTAATGAACTAGTTTCCTATAGAAAAGTTGTTTATTTAATGAACTAGTTTCCTATAGAAAAGTTGTTTATTTAATGAACTAGTTTCCTATAGAAAAGTTGTTCATTTAATGAACTAGTTTTCTATAGAAAAGTTGTTCATTTAATGAACTAGTTTTCTATAGAAAAGTTGTTCATTTAATGAACTAGTTTTCTATAGAAAAGTTGTTAATTTAATGAACTAGTTTTCTATAGAAAAGTTGTTCATTTAATGAACTAGTTTTCTATAGAAAAGTTGTTCATTTAATGAACTAGTTTTCTATAGAAAAGTTGTTCATTTAATGAACTAGTTTTCTATAGAAAAGTTGTTCATTTAATGAACTAGTTTTCTATAGAAAAGTTGTTCATTTAATGAACTAGTTTTCTATAGAAAAGTTGTTCATTTAATGAACTAGTTTTCTATAGAAAAGTTGTTCATTTAATGAACTAGTTTTCTATAGAAAAGTTGTTCATTTAATGAACTAGTTTTCTATAGAAAAGTTGTTCTTTTTATGAACTAGTTTTCTATAGAAAAGTTGTTCATTTAATGAACTAGTTTTCTATAGAAAAGTTGTTCATTTAATGAACTAGTATAGAAAAGTTGTTCATTTTATGAACTAGTTTTCTATAGAAAAGTTGTTCATTTTATGAACTAGTTTTCTATAGAAAAGTTGTTCATTTTATGAACTAGTTTTCTATAGAAAAGTTGTTCATTTTATGAACTAGTTTTCTATAGAAAAGTTGTTCATTTAATGAACTAGTTTTCTATAGAAAAGTTGTTTATTTTTTGAACTTTTCTATAGAAAAGTTGTTCATTTCATGAACTAGTTTTCTATAGAAAACTGTTCATTTAATGAACTAGTTTTCTATAGAAAAGTTGTTCATTTAATGAACTAGTTTTCTATAGAAAAGTTGTTCAATTAATGAACTAGTTTTCTATAGAAAAGTTGTTCAATTAATGAACTAGTTTTCTATAGAAAAGTTGTTCATTTAATGAACTAGTTTTCTATAGAAAAGTTGTTCACTTTATGAACTAGTTTTCTATAGAAAAGTTGTTCACTTTATGAACTAGTTTCCTATAGAAAAGTTGTTCATTTAATGAACTAGTTTCCTATAGAAAAGTTGTTCATTTAATGAACTAGGTTTCTATAGAAAAGTTGTTCATTTAATGAACTAGTTTCCTATAGAAAAGTTGTTCATTTAATGAACTAGTTTCCTATAGAAAAGTTGTTCATTTAATGAACTAGTTTCCTATAGAAAAGTTGTTCATTTAATGAACTAGTTTCCTATAGAAAAGTTGTTCATTTAATGAACTAGTTTCCAATAGAAAAGTTGTTCATTTAATGAACTAGTTTTCTATAGAAAAGTTGTTCATTTAATGAACTAGTTTTCTATAGAAAAGTTGTTCATTTAATGAACTAGTTTTCTATAGAAAAGTTGTTCATTTAATGAACTAGTTTTCTATAGAAAAGTTGTTCATTTAATGAACTAGTTTTCTATAGAAAAGTTGTTCATTTAATGAACTAGTTTTCTATAGAAAAGTTGTTCATTTAATGAACTAGTTTTCTATAGAAAAGTTGTTCATTTAATGAACTAGTTTTCTATAGAAAAGTTGTTCATTTAATGAACTAGTTTTCTATAGAAAAGTTGTTCTTTTTATGAACTAGTTTTCTATAGAAAAGTTGTTCATTTAATGAACTAGTATAGAAAAGTTGTTCATTTTATGAACTAGTTTTCTATAGAAAAGTTGTTCATTTATGAACTAGTTTTCTATAGAAAAGTTGTTCATTTTATGAACTAGTTTTCTATAGAAAAGTTGTTCATTTTATGAACTAGTTTTCTATAGAAAAGTTGTTCATTTTATGAACTAGTTTTCTATAGAAAGTTGTTCATTTATGAACTAGTTTTCTATAGAAAAGTTGTTCATTTAATGAACTAGTTTTCTATAGAAAAGTTGTTTATTTTTTGAACTTTTCTATAGAAAAGTTGTTCATTTCATGAACTAGTTTTCTATAGAAAACTGTTCATTTAATGAACTAGTTTTCTATAGAAAAGTTGTTCATTTAATGAACTAGTTTTCTATAGAAAAGTTGTTCAATTAATGAACTAGTTTTCTATAGAAAAGTTGTTCATTTAATGAACTAGTTTTCTATAGAAAAGTTGTTCACTTTATGAACTAATTTTCTATAGAAAAGTTGTTCACTTTATGAACTAGTTTCCTATAGAAAAGTTGTTCATTTAATGAACTAGTTTCCTATAGAAAAGTTGTTCATTTAATGAACTAGGTTTCTATAGAAAAGTTGTTCATTTAATGAACTAGTTTCCTATAGAAAAGTTGTTCATTTAATGAACTAGTTTCCTATAGAAAAGTTGTTCATTTAATGAACTAGTTTCCTATAGAAAAGTTGTTCATTTAATGAACTAGTTTCCTATAGAAAAGTTGTTCATTTAATGAACTAGTTTCCAATAGAAAAGTTGTTCATTTAATGAACTAGTTTTCTATAGAAAAGTTGTTCATTTAATGAACTAGTTTTCTATAGAAAAGTTGTTCATTTAATGAACTAGTTTTCTATAGAAAAGTTTTTCATTTAATGAACTAGTTTTCTATAGAAAAGTTGTTCATTTAATGAACTAGTATAGAAAAGTTGTTCATTTAATGAACTAGTTTTCTATAGAAAAGTTGTTCATTTAATGAACTAGTTTTCTATAGAAAAGTTGTTCATTTAATGAACTAGTTTTCTATAGAAAAGTTGTTCATTTAATGAACTAGTTTTCTATAGAAAAGTTGTTCATTTAATGAACAAGACAGTTGTTCATAAAATGATGAAGTTTTCTTATAGAAAATTGTTTCTTAAAATTATGAAATTTTTTAATAGAAAAGTTGTTCTTAAATGAACAAATTTTCTATAGAAAAGGAAAAGATTTTTTATTATTATGTTTGATTTCAATTTAATTATTAACATGTGCCATGTCATTGGACCTTAAAAACTAAAGATGTTTAAACAAATTTTGGTTTTTTCACACCTTTTTGTTAGGTTTCTTTAACACACGTTCGAACATTTCTGGTCCATATATGTAGTTTAAAGTTCCATCAATGAAATAAAAATTAAAGCTTCACATTTTCTTTATAAATAATTTTTGTTAAAATGCAAGTTTAATAAAGTTTGCCTAAGAAATTAACAGGGTCGCTGTTTGAATGCAATATCAAAAATAAATATTATAAAAAATGAAAACTTTAGTTCAACAAAACTCCCTCCCTATAATTGTTAAAACTAATAGATATGGTTAAAATGAAACTACATTTATTTACAAATAAACAATTATGTGTGAGATTATTGATATTTGCAATTATTCAGGTGTAAATGAAACTATAAATACTTATTTAGGCGAGGGAGCAAAAAGTTAATTTACTTGGTGTTATTGTTTGTAGTCACACCATAACTTGATAGTGTTGAGAGGAGAGAAGACAAAGTTTGTAACTATAATATTTAAGTTATGTTAGAAATTAAAATACATAGCTTTGACTACCTTAACCTGTACATAAAAGTTTATATATTAAGTATATCTTTAATGAAAATCAAACTTTTATTTAAACTTGTGTGTAGCGCCCAAATGTATTTGCTTAGCTTAACTTTACTTTATTTTGTACTTGTTAACTTTC